AAATGATTTCGATGTCAGGGATGAATTGGTCGCTTGTATTTGGATTAAAAGCAAACCTCGACCTCTTCGCTTCGTCGAACGCCTCTCGACTGCTAGTCAAGAATCCTAGCAGTTATCTGAATTATTAGTCAAAATCCTTTTCAGATATCAAACTTTGCATGTTTAGAATCTGGGGCGGACTTTCCAGCTGCTGCGATACAATGGTTATTAATACGCAAAGAGTAAGGTTCTATAAGAATAAGGCTGACATGTATATTTATTAATTGGTTTGATTTCATTGCTTTTTTGTTTATTAAATTCTCACGAAACTCACAAATCCATCTTTTTTAAACAAGATTCAAATTGCTACTTGTTTAGCTTCATCCATAAATAACGAATTTCCGGCGAGTCTGGTCTAGAGATTCTCGCAACACAAAATGCACAACGCTAAAAAAGGTTTTGTAGTTCAGTTATAAAATCGATCATTGTTAATTTGTTACAGTATGAGTAGTATCGCCAATATAAAATCTGTCAGCAATGTTCATCTGTTCAGATCACAGCAAAATATAATTCGTGTGAAATTTTGATAGGTTTTCCTTACGCTTGAATTCGCATTCGCTCGCTTTATTAATGCTTTATTGACATTTTTTTCCTACTGTGACGTTTTTTGGTTTTATAATACAGTTCTTTTGTGTGCGTGCGGCGCGATTCCAGAACACACAAAAATGATGAAACTGGATATAAACCTGACAACAACGTTGGTTTGTGTATTTAAAAATTTCCGGCGAAAAAGAGAAGATAAAATTCTTAGTCCGAGGAACTATCATAGTTTCAAAACACAGCTTTGTGAAATTTTACTTTCGTGAAACTAATATTTGTTTTGAGAACATTACTCATCAACTGATCTTCGACAGAAGGTTTTATTGTTTGAATAAAACTGGAAACATACGAATACAGTAAATTAAAAAAAGAAAAGAGGTAAAATTGCTGACCTCCACTTTCGATGGGTGAGGCTTTGCCCGTGCAATGTTCCCTTTCCTCGCGATTAGGTATATTTGGACAACCCATAAACAAGCTTAAAAAAAAAAGAAATTTGTGTTTCAATTGCTTCTCGCTACTTATATATCAATCTTTCCTCACGCTGGTTTTGAAATTGGTTTTGTGTCGACACCTTTACTTGGACCCAGACTCCTGAATCCAGTTATCACTTTTGATGCCATTAGATCAATCGAACCGCTCATACATTAGGAAGGCGATGCAAAACGAAACAGTAAACGGGATTAACCTTACTGACAGTCGCTTGCATTTTAATTTTCTTATCTCCAGATCAGATGAAAATTGGAGACCAGCATTCCAGTTGAATTAAGAAGCCATGTCCGTTTACAGCAATTCCGATTCAGCTGAAGTTGTATTAATAGTGGTCCATTCTGTACTCGTCATCGTAAATATTGCTGGAAACTCTCTGGTCTGTGTCATCATTCTGAGGAATCGAGATATGAGGTATGCGGACAAAAAAAACAGGTGCTTGATTTTAGAGAGAAAATGTGACGGCTTTTCGTTGGGACAAACGAAATTGACGGTATATACGGGTGTCCGTATTAAGCGGGTGACCTACTGTACCCTATTCTTCATGTACTTTCTGAGCAGCTATAACATATTGTCAATGCTTTATCCTACAGGACTTCACTCAACTATCTTATTCTTAATCTGGCTGTTGCTGATATCACAACAGCCCTATTTTTATCACCAAAGTACATATTTTCCCACTTCATCGCACACCCAGAAGGAGCAGCAGGCACCGCGCTCTGCATTGCGCTGACTGGTGGAATCATTGGATGGGTCGGCGCTGCCACTGGAGTATTTTGTTTGGTTACTATAGCTGTTGAACGTTACTACGCCGTGGTTTATCCATTTGAAAACATGGAGGCGCTTAGTAAACGTAAACTTAAGGTGCGATTATTTCAATTTATCGTAAATTGTAATAGTACTACGTGTATTCGTATTTCGATTACCTTATATCAAAAGCCAAAAGTTAATTCTAGAAATCATCGCGCCTTGCAGACTATTCAGTTTTATGAAGCGTTTCGTATGACACTGAAAAATGGTTTCCTTAAGTGTTCGTTATTTATTTTATCAGTCAATAGATGATGGCAAGATGATGACCCTTTAAATGGAGAAAAGTATCTTTCGCGTGTTCGATTAGCAACTCAGTATCTGTTCCGCATGTCTTGGAAAATAAATTTTCAGCAATCTTTTTTTTTTAAGAGAGATTATTTTTGTCTGTTTGATAGACTAATCAAATTTTTATGTTCTTTTTTGTTTGTTGTTTTGTTTTGTTTGTTTTTTCCATGCGTATATAACCGTTTCAAGGTCAATCGACACTCTCTCTTGACTATCAGGCAAGCAGATAACTGGATGATCTAAGGGCTTCGCGCAAACTGCATGATTCGTCTGCAAGGCAATGCCAGATTCTCGGGTGGCGAGTTAGATCTTTACACTCAGCCAAAGAACATGGCCAGTCAGATTGTTAGCTTGACTAACTAAGAAATAAATAAATTCTTCTTAAGACTATACTGATACAAATAATGATAATGATGATGATGATGATGATGATGATGACGATAATAATACGTCATCATTAGACAGTTACTTGAGTCGGACTTAGAATCATTTCGGTCCTTTTTTTTACTTTTTTTAAAAAAATGACGGCAGTTTCAAGGAATTTTTGCTTTCAACAAGCGACAGTTTGGATGCTCTTCGTGAACTTAATCATAATTGGTCAAGAATTGATATCCAGTCTAGTCGCAGATATACATGTAAAGCTAAACCATTGGCTGATAAGTAAAAGTAGCTAAAAGTAGCTTGCCGGCTGCTGATATGCTGATTTGTGTGTGCTTCATAAAATAACCTTACCATAATTACTCCCTTGTTTTGCTTGATATTAAAACAGGTGATAATTATTAGTACGTGGATTCTAGGGATTATCTTGAATATTCCATCGTTCATGTACAGAAGATATAACGAATATTGGAATTACTGCATCAACACGTGGCCAAGAGAGTGGGTCGGCAAGGCCTACAGCCTTTATTGGTTTTGTCTGGCAGTCCTCTCTACTTCTCTTATGGCCATATTGTACTTCCGTGTGGTGTACACTTTGTGGTTCAAACATGAGGACAGGAGAGAAAACAATACGCAACAGAAGGTAAAATGATTTAAAAACATTATTGGGTATGGAATAGTAACCCATATGGGAACACCACATAGTTGTCTTATATATTATACAGATGATGTTTATCACTTAGTACAGGCTATTATGCATATTTCAATGTACATGACATAATTTATATAGGCAAGAGATAGGTAGACTGTGTGATATGCTGACTCAGAGTAATGCAAATTCCTGAAAGTGCTTTAGCTCTACCTTCAGTTAAAGTAATAGCATTTCCAACGGTATCTGCGTTTTGTTATTTTAAAAATATATATGTTGATGCTGTCTTAGTGTTAAACTGAACCAAGAAACTGCACTGAAAGAGCGCACGCTTGCATGAGTTTCGAATGAGTTCCCAAGGTACTTAAATTTAATCTTTAAACGGGAATTTTTTCTGGGAACAAAAGCATCAAGATTTCTGCAGATTGATCATGCTAACAACGTCGAATACCCAGTATAATACACAAAGGATAAAGACAGTGGCAGCAGTACAAACATTTAAGAAACAGTATAGCTTCGAAGCATGCATTGCAGCAGTGGCGGATCCATGGGAGGGACCCGGGGGGGGGGGGAAATTTTGAAATTTTGTAGATCTCGTAGCTTAGTGCTCTAATTCATAAAACCTCTGACGGTAAGGTTTGGAATACTGGGTAAAAAATAAAGGGTCGGTTATTCAAACGATCAAGTCTAACTTAGGCCGATGTTTAAGAAATCATTGGTCCAGATCTCTTTCTTAGTGGGTTAATGTAAGAAAATATTAAGTGCTTTTCCAGTGTGCGCTATATGCTTTTTTGAAATTGTTTACGATAAATGATGTATAGATAAATGCGGTGGGAAAACTGAAAATGGCTTAGAACGCGGTTTTGTTAAGCACGAGCTAAACTCCGTTTAAATGACTGGCCCAAAGACACTTGATTACAGTTAGTTGAATCTACCTACTCCAGGATGCAGAGTACTACCAGTGAAACTAATTAAATACATGTAGACTCTTGCTGAGAGTTTTATAAAAACAATAGGCGATATGACAGACCTAGAAACGTTCATTGGATGTAAGTCAATGTCACATGAACAACAGCCATTTCTCTTCATGTATAGGTTAGCATACTACCTTACTTAAAAGTTGAATAACTCTATCGCTAGAGGCAGAATGTATATAAAAGAGGCTGTTAGACAGTGGTGAGAAGATATGGATTTTCTATATGTTCGAGCTGGCACGAACGAGCGCAGTGAACGAATGGAATTAGCTTGTTTTTGCCACGAGGACATAAAATTCATATCTTCTCCGGAGCTAACGTGTAATTTTCATTCCATATAATTATTCAATTATCAGTCTGCCTTGTCCGGCTAGTGCTGTGAACAGTGCAATAAAATAATCCTTAAAAATCGCAATTACTTTCCGTTAAGGACAAAGGTGCACAGTCAGTTTCTTTGCTGTGTTTTCATTTCTGGAAACTTGACTAAGAGACCCCTTTACGATTGCCAAACAAGCGCTAGCGTTACCCCCATGTTGTGTATCAAAAACCAGAAGATAGGATAAACAAGCACACGCACACATCCGGGACATGCGGTTCCTATTTTGTTCGTATTTCTTCAGTGAAAATTGGAAAGCGTTTAGTCTCTTATATAAAACACTAGCATGGCATCCTTAAAATGACTAAGATTAAGTGTTAATAGAGCAACCCCTACGCTTCTCTCGTAATCTCCGAACCTTTCGTATGTATCCACGGCTCGATATATTTAACCAATGGCTCCATGCTGCCATTCGTCTGTTCAGTACAGTTATTAGTAATAGACCACAGATGACGTCAATATGTGGTAAGGATAAAAAAGTGGCAGACGAGCCGCAGGTAAGTGCTGTGTCACTGATCTTTATACTACACTTTTTATTCGTTTTTATTCGTTTTAAAAAATGAAGAGAAAGATTTAAAAAAAAAAACGACAAGCTTACCTCACACCGCTTTTTAACTGTTGTTGGATTAGTTTAGGTATTTTCCAGGTCATAAACACTACTTTTCGTCTCTGCCTCTCCTTTTCGTCTTTATCTTACTTGTTGGCAGTTTTTCCCAAGATATTTCAAGGCCTAGCTCAAAGAAGAATGAATTGCCCAAAAAATTAAAACCGCGATTTTCTCGTATCGATGACATACGATCATGGCAACCGCTGTGAAAATTTATCAGTTCCAGTTCAGGCATTAGGGATGACGAAGACTTTGTCGACGACGACCGAACTGAGATTCAGTGCACTGCGCAAGCGCGGCCAGCAAAACTTCGTCGTCTTATTAGTGTCGTTGACAACGACAAACAAAGTAGAATCACGTCGTCCTGTAACCACAAGCTTTGGCAGGTACAAATACACTGTTTTTAAGCGATTTTTAAAGTTCTTTACATTTTTTTATCTTCATAAATCCAGGTATCCTTCCTTTTTTCACCTAACAAGCGACGTTGATTTAAAATTCGAGTAATGAATTGTCTATACTTCGAAGAATGACAACAGCTGTGGAGGCCGAGCGAGCAAACTCGTAAGTGATAAATTTAATTGTACGTATTTAGGAAGGGCAAATCAGTTATCTTTAATATAGAGGAAATAGACCTTATTCGGAAAAAAGCTATTACATCGGAATGTCTCTTTTTCCGAATCTAAACTCTGACAGACACTCGGTCATCTCAAGGTTGAAAGTTGAGTAATCTTGGTACGGAAAGAAAGGATTTTTCCATTCGAAACGGTCAGACAACACTAAGATTCCTCATCGTCGATGAAATTAGGCGTACAGCTTAAAAATAAGATCTTGCATCGTTTTAAAAGACGCCATTGCGAAAAAAACTTTGTTGCGAACGAACATCACAGTTTTACATTTGTGTTTACATTCAGTGTCGTCGTCGTCGACCTACCGACCGACTGCATCTTAAGTTTTCTTTTTCCCGCCGAAACTGACGTTCTCGTTCCAGTCCTTTGCCAGTCAACAGACATCGTAGTCGTGAACTTCGTCGTGGTTCTTAAGTTCCCTATTTAAAGCCACAAGCCTTTCAAGGGTCATTCGTGTGTCTGTAATATGTAGATCAAAGAAAACGACCAATCAAAGTGCGCGTAACATTCACTATGGGCTCCTGCTACATTGTATAAACGCCCACTGAGCATGAACCAATTCTTACTTGATATGCATTTGTTGGGTAGTCTCCTGTTGTTACGATTACAAAATTAATCCACCATATGTTTTAAAAAGTTACCAAATTATAGTATACTGATGTCTTTGTCTTGATTGAATCACACCACCAAGACAAAATTAAAGATGAGGCTCATTCAAAGTTTTCACAAAACTATAATGCAATTCTAGGCGCGAAATGTGTCGTATAATTACCACAAGTGATAGAAAAGCTCTGACATATTGTTATGGATTATTTCTGTGACCAGCTGGCAATCAGAAGCACAATATCTCAATGAATTTTTAATTTAAAAATCTCTTTACTAAAAAATTATTGAGAAATACAAATATCTGAAGGGCTAAAGCCGTTCTCATCTAAAATTTTCAGTAACAAAATTGCGCTAATCCTCTATCTTCTACAACGCGAAGTAAGTTAATAAAAGAGTTGGAAAGCAAGTAACGGTTTTTTTAAACGTATTAATTGCGTAATGTAGTGTTAAGTGTATGTAATACTATTGTGGAAATTAGATGTGTAAATTAGGAAATCTAAAAAAAAAAAGAGTTTGGAAAAAAGTAATGATTGAGCGAGCGTGGGGAGAACTCTGACATACAGTCAAAAATGACACGTAATATGACATCTACAAAAACATTCGCTGTAATTTCGTCCTCACAGCTACAAATAAGCAAAGAGTCATTATTATCTGCATAATGGCAACCAATGAGATGGGCGACTTTTGTTTGGCCTTCAGATCGGTGGCTGTGACCGACGGGTTCAAGGACAAGCTTAACGGGAATTAACGCAATGCACGTACGGTCTCCGTGAGGAACTTAGCAATAGAGACTGGAGAAAATCACAGAGGATGTAAAGGCTCATCGGCATCTATAAGTCGAGCTTATATTTGGTGAGTTTAAACGATGTTAATTAAAAGTACTATTGATAGCGTAAAACAGCTGAAATCAAAATGGAAAACCTAGAAAATGTATATCTCTTGAGAATTTGAGAGGAGCGCGTACTAGCCATTATGGTTACGTCAAAGTCGAGAATTCTGAACGAGAGGTAAGGTAAGATATTTCAGAGGTGACTTTAAGTTCGCGTGCGCTGGCTGTTTTTGCTGTTTCGAAGCATCTTTATACAAGAGGTCATAAGACAGACAGAAGATTCAGTCTGAAGTCGTGCCACTGAATTCTCTGTTGTGTATTCTATACAAATTGCCAGCCGAGGTTAAAGTGTGTTCCTTTTTGTATACGTTTTTCGTTTTGCTTTGGTAAAATATATGCCAAATCATTTCTCTACTTCTATATACACTGCAAATGCATGGGCAAACTTTTCGCAGTTGTCTTTTCTACTGAACATTGAGTTCACACAAACCATGACAAAATTCTCGTCAGGAACTGATGAAAACTAAATAAATAAATGAAAAGCTAGCTACGCCTGTAGACATAATTTAATTTTAATTTGTTCCTACTAAACATTCAAGTTTACTGTTCAGGTTCCAAGAACTGCACTGTATTAATAACAAGGCAATTTGTGTAAATAAGACCTTCTATTTTTACTACTTATAAACTGTCTTGGCATTGATTATTTTCAATCAGTAACGACTCGTTTCGTCCGGATACACTCGATTTTTAAATAACTTTTGTATTGAGAACATTGATTGCATAATTCTCCGACTTTCAACTTACTGTTTTGTTGTTGTAAGCTGTTTGTTTCGATCCAACAACAACAACAACAATAACCTTTATTTGCATGACTATAATTATTTACAGTATTGCAAAAGGTACGTAAGATAAGAACGAAAAGATAAATAATTATGATATTAATAACAGATAATCAAGTGACATTATTCTTACATGACAGTAAACTGTCGCGCAAATTATTCAATAATTAAGATAAATATCTTCGGAGTTTATCGCTCGGTTTAATGACCAGGTCCGAGTAAGATAGCTGCTGAAAATTACGGAGATGACTTCGTATTTAAGCAAAAACTTAATTTCTAAGTTTTAAATACTTTGGGCAATAGCAGAGAAAGTGAATTTCATCCTCAATTTCATTGGAATGACAAAGAGGGCATAATCCTTTGTCTTGAGGAGTTTGATTATATCTTCCAGTCTCGATCATAAGTTTATGATTGCTCACGCGTAATTTACCAAAGCCTTTTTATCGATTGTTCTTCTAGTAAGGTTTAGATAACTTGAAATTTCATAACAATGTTTAAATGTATTATAAAACTCTAATTTCCTTGTATATTAACTAAATACCGCCACTGAGTAATAATATTATACTTTTGTTTCATTATATCTTTAAATCTTGATATTTTGCTTTTATCTAAATTGCTGGGAACAAAATCTGGTAGGTCATAAGATTTGGATAATTCAATAATATTACTATAAAAACTAGTATTGCCATTAAAATGAAGATTTATAGTCAAGTAATGCTTGTTTGACAATAGATTCTTCATCCTTCCTTCTCAAAAAGATACATAATGTAGTTAAGAGTTTTTTCTTTGATGACAACTATAGACCTATTTGGCTAACTAAATGTTGTACCCAATTCAAACCCTTTGCGGATAAAACGTTTTGTTTTAGGAATTTCCATATCATTTAAATGTGAATGCGACATTATAATGCAAATACAATACACAAAGAATCTTAACCCCGGGAGATTTGAATTGTTTACAACATTGAGTTACGACGACGAACATATAACTCCGAATTAACATCGAAATGTATACCCCGGGTAGCCTTTGTCAAATAAATCGCGTAAAATACCTGTTTGACAGGCGTATGTTGATCACTATAATTAATTCTCTCGTATTCAGTAAATTATTGTATTGTTCATCAGTATGGGCTAATACCACCAAGAAAAACATCGAGCTATTACAGACAGTGCAAAATTTTGCAGTCCGGATAGTTTCTGGAACAAGGAAATTTGATCATGTTACACCTATTCTTAATTAAGCAGTTACAGTGGCTGCCAATTGTTAAACAACTTAAGGTTAGGGATGCTACCATGGTATTTAAATGCTTAAATGGACTTGCACCTCCATATCTTTGTCAGAAGTTTAAAACCAGATCGGAAGTGCACAACTTCAACACTAGGAATAGGGACCGCCTACATATACCACTCTGTAGGACGGCTGCAGGTCAGCGCGCGTTTACCTTCAGAGGCCAAAGGCTGTGGAATAGTCTCCCAGACGAGTTTCAGTCTATCACTAATTTAGATGTATTTAAGGTTGAAATAAAACAGCATTTTTTAAGGGTATTTTTGGAAAACTAAGTTTTAGCTATTTGACATTGTAAATTAAGCTGAAAAGCCTTTTTGAGGAGATTAATAAAGTTATTATTATTATTATTAGTTAGCCGAATATGTTTATTAATGGAAATCTACCTAATTCATCTCCACATGCCGCGTTAGGAGCCTTATTACCTACTTCCAAGTATCGCTTGCAGAGGACCCAGTTACGTCAGGAGAAACTGCGGCGAAACTGAGCTTTCAAGAACTGGCGAGAGAGCCCCTGGGATGCTACTCTAAAAGAACCAGTTCCACGACTTATTCGAATGCTTATCTGTGATTGGGCACCAAAAATAATTTTGTAAGCAATAAGAGGCCAACATCTATCACACGGTGCTTTTGTGATCTTCTTATACGAAGAGTTTTACCCGCAACCACGACTTTTCGCCGTACATGTTTGGCTTTTTGCAGGAGAGCTTTTTCCGAGAAGAGTTTTCAGCGCAAATGGGGCCCACAAAACCACAGAAATTCTATAAGTGGTATAGTTTTTCCGTATAAACTCATGTATTTATTATGCATGCAGCAATTTCATACTCATTTCACACAAATAGATGATATCAATAGATCGAGTGGAAACATACATGGAAAGGGTTGCACGGAAATCTTTCCCGATGATTTAGCATGTCAGCCTCCGAATAACCGTTGCCTCTTTTAAGTCGAAAATCAATAAGCGCCGCGGGGCTCTTTCAAAATTAAATATATAGAGGATATTATACGGTGGCGCGAAGATATGAATTTTATTTTCGAGTGAACAATATTTTACGAACGAGCGCAGCGAGTGAGTAAAATATTGTTTTTGCCACGAGAAAATAAAATTCATATCTTCTAGCTGCCGATCTCGGAGATGAATTGGTCGCTTGTATTTGGATTAAAAGCAAATCTCGACCTCTTCGCTTCGTCGAAGGCCCCTCGACTGCTAGTCAAGAATCCTCGCAGTCATCTGAACTGTTAGTCAAAAAGCCAGATATCAAACTTTGCATGTTTAGAATCTGGGGCGGACTTTAATTTCCAGCTGCTGCGATACAATGGTTATTAATACGCAAAGAGTAAGGTTCTATAAGAATAAGGCTGACATGTATATTTATTAGTTGGTTTGATTTCATTGCTTTTTTGTTTATTAAATTCTCACGAAACTCACCAATCCAACCTTTTTAAACAAGATTCAAATTGCTACTTATTTAGCTTCATCCATAAATAACGAATTTCCGGCGAGTCTGGTCTAGAGATTCTCGCAACACAAAATGCACAACGCTAAAAAAGGTTTAGTAGTTTAGTTATAAAATCGATCATTGTTAATTTGTTACAATATGAGTAGTATCGCCAATATAAAATCTGTCAGCAATGTTCATCTGTTATCAGAAAAATGTAATTCGTGTGAAATTTTGATAGGTTTTCCTTACGCTTGAATTAACATTCGCTAGCTTTATTAATGCTTTATTGACATTTTTTTCCTACTGTGACGTTTTTTGGTTTTATAATACAGTATCTGTTCTTTTGTGTGCGTGCGGCGCGATTCCAGAACACACAAAACAGATGAAACTGGATATAAACCGGACAACAACGTTGGTTTGTGTATTTAAAAATTTCCGGATATAGTAAATTAAAAAAGGAGAGAAGTAAAATTACTGACCTCCACTTTCGATAAGTTAGGCTTTGCCCGTGAAATGTTTCCTTTCCTCACGATTGGGCATATTTGGAAAACCCATAAACAAGCTTAAAAAATGTATATATCATATCAATCTTTCCTCACGCTGGTTTTGAAATTGGTTTTGTGTCGACGCCTTTACTTGGACCCAGACTCCTGAATCCAGTTATCACTTTTGATGGCAGTAGATCAATCGACTCGCTCTTACAAATAGGAAGGCGATGTAAAACGACACAGTAAACGGAATTAACCTTACTGACAGTTGCTTGCATTTGAATTTTGTTATCTCCAGATCAGATGAAAATTGGATACTAGCATTCCAGTTGTATTAAGAAGCCATGTCAGTTTACAGCAATTCCGATTCAGCTGAAGTTGTATTAATAGTGGTCCATTCTGTACTCGTCATCGTAAATATTGCCGGAAACGTTCTGGTCTGTGTCATCATTCTGAGGAATCGAGATATGAGGTATGCGGACAAAAAAAAGGTGCTTGATTTTAGAGAGGAAATGTGACTGCTTTTCTTTGAGACAAAGGAAATTGACGGTATATACGGGTGTCCGTATTAAGCGGGTGACCTACTGTACCCTATTCTTCATGTACTTTCTGAGCAGCTATAACATACTGTCAATGCTTTATTCTACAGGACTTCACTCAACTATCTTATTCTTAATCTGGCTGTTGCTGATATCACAACAGCCCTATTTTTATCACCAAAGTACATATTTTCCCACTTCATCGCACACCCAGAAGGAGCAGCAGGCACCGCGCTCTGCATTGCGTTGACTGGTGGGATCATTGGATGGGTCGGCGCCGCCACTGGAGTATTTTGTTTGGTTGCTATAGCTGTTGAACGTTACTACGTCGTGGTTTATCCATTTGAAAACATGGAGGCGCTTAGTAAACGTAAACTTAAGGTGTGATAATTTCAATTTATCATAACTTGTAGTAGTACTACGTGTATTCGTATTTCGATTACCTTATATCAAAAGCCAGAAGTTAATTCGAGAAATCATCGCGCCTTGCAGACTATTCAATTTTATGAAGCGTTTCGTGTGACACTGAAAACTGGTTTCCTTAAGTGTTCGTTATTTATTTTATCAGTCAATAGATGATGGCAAGATGATCTCCCTTTAAATGGAGAAAAGTATCTTTCGCGTGTTCGATTAGCAACTCAGTATCTGTTCCCCATGTCTTGGAAAATAAATTTTCAGCAACCTTTTTTTTTAAGAGAGATTATTTTTGTCTGTTTGATAGACTAATCATATTTTTATATTCTTTTTTGTTTGTTGTTTTGTTTTGTTTGTTTGTTTTTTCCATGCGTATATAACCGTTTCAAGGTCAATCGAAAATCACTCTTGACTATCAGGCAAGCAGATAACTGGATGATCTAAGGGCTTCGCGCAAACTGCATGATTCGTCTGCAAGGCAATGCCAAATTCTCGGGTGGCGAGTGAGATCTTTACACGCAGCCAAAGAACATGGCTAGTCAGATTGTTAGCTTGGTTAAATAAAAATAAATAAATTGTTTTTAAGACTATACTGATGCAAATAATGACAATGATGATGATGATGATGACGATAATAATAAGTCATCATCAGTGTTACTTGAACCGGACTTACCATTATTTCCTTTTTTACACTTTTAAAAAAATGACAGCAGTTTCAAGGAATTTTTGCTTTCAACAAGCGACAGTTTGGATGCTCTTCGTGAACTTAAGTATAATTGGTCCAGAATTGATATCCAGCCTAGTCGCAGATATATATGCTGATTTGTGTGCGCTTCATAAAATAACCTTACCATAATTACTCCCTTGTTTTGCTTGATATCAAAACAGGTGATAATTCTTAGTACTTGGATTTTTGGGATTATCTTCAATATTCCATCGTTCATGTACAGAAGATATAACGAATATTGGAATTACTGCATCAACACGTGGCCAAGAGAGTGGGTCGGCAAGGCCTACGGTTTTTATTGGTTTTGTCTGGCAGTCCTCTCTACTTCTCTCATGGCCATATTGTACTTCCGTGTGGTGTACACTTTGTGGTTCAAACATGAGGACAGGAGAGAAAACAATACGCAACAGAAGGTAAAATGATTTAAAAACATTATTGGGTATGGGATAGTAACCCATATGGGAACACCACATAGTTGTCCTATATATTATAGGGATGACGTTTATCACTTAGTGCAGGTTATTATGCATATTTCAATGTACATGACATGACTTATATAGGCAAGAAATAGGTAGACTGTGTGATATGCTGACTCAGAGTAATACAAATTCCTGATAGTGCTTTAGCTCCACCTTCAGTTTAAAGTAATAGCATGCGCATTTCCAAAGGTATCTGCGTTTTGTTATTTTAAAATATATAGATGGTTTTCACAGTGACGTCATCAAATTGTAAAGTCAAAATAGCGAGGTCTTACGAATTCTTATTTACAGTAGGTTGAAGATAAACAAAAAGTTAATCTTTGTACAAGTTTTCAGTCCCATAGCATGTTTCATTTCGAAAATACAGCAATTTGAACTTCCGAGTTTTCACAGTGCGTGACACCAAACTAGGAATGCTGTCTCCTTGAAAAAAAGTCCCTCCTCTTGATTTTCAGCAGTATAACCATTTCAAGTATTAGAAGATATGTTTATGCTCACGTATGCTAGTTCTCGAGTGAAAAGAAGAAGCTTTTACAGAAAAAGTGTACTCCAGATGTTTTTGTTGATTTTCGGCGGCCATATTGGTGCACCAAAACTGTGCACCAATATGGCGTCTCCATACAAAGCTCTACAAAGATGCGTGAAACATTTCGGCAAATAACTCAGAAACTGTGGTCCAAAAAGACCTGAGACTTGGATAAATTGTTTAAATATTAGTTTTTCATAACATATCATTTTCTTGGCTTCTTTCACTGGACGGTTTTCAATTTATTTTTTTGTTGCGTGACAGTGAAAACGATCTATATGTTGATGCTGTCTTAGTGTTAAACTGAACAAAGAAACTGCACTGAAAGAGCGCACGCTTGCATGAGTTTCGAATCAGTTCCCAGGGTACTTAAATTTAATCTTTAAACGGGATTTTTTTCTGGGAACAAAAGCATCAAGATTTCTGCAGATAGAACCCTAACCCTAACCCTGACACCCACCCCCCTTCTCTGAAGGTCTGGATCCGCCACTATGCAGTAACTTGTGCGCGACGAAGGCCGCGCCGAGACTCTGAATTCTGCAAACGTTTAAAAGGTGAGAAGCTAAATGGAAGTCAGAAAGTCTGTTTAAATGTGAGTGAGTAGGCATGAAATTACTTTTTTGGGCTTTAAAAAAATGCGTTTAATTGATGGCGGTCATAGCCGGGTAACCCCAATAACGGAATTGCAACGCGAACTTCATCTCTCTTGTGCCTGTCTAATTGTTTGTTTGTCTTTTTTTTTAATAACAGGCGGTTCTGAAGATGCGAAAACGAGCTACCTTAATGGTCATACTTGTCAGTGTTGTCTTTGGAGTGTGTTGGGTGACTGACAGGACCAACTACCTTATGGTACAGTTTTATTCCCATACGGGTGCATTTCTCTCCCTAGCGGCATCCAATACGATGGTTTTGGTCAATTCTGCTATCAATCCAATTGTATATGCATTGGTCAACTATCGTTTCAGAGAAAAGGCGAAGAGGATGATACAAGTTCGTTGCTGCCGCACAGCAGTTCGCCCTGCCGGTGGACTGCAGGTGATAGCATCTCAGTCACGCAGGGCAGGTGACATCTCCAGTAAATGTTAGAAAGTGTTCAAAGCAACTTCAATCACGGCACAATCTGCAATTCCTTAACCATCACCCACCTTGTGTACTCATAAATAACAGAAAATGTCAAAAACAATTAACCAACAAAAACAACAACATTATTCGGTGCTTAATAGTCACTTTAAAGTATTACAGTATTGATAAAGAAGATCTATTAACAGAGGTAAAGAGGAGAACATTCAGGATGCTCCAAATAACCACAGGGGCTAAAGAAAAAGGGCAGCCTTTAGTTAGGGGATTAATTTATGATTATTAGAGTCAGATTACCTCACACGCCATGTTGCCTGACTGCTGACCGTCTTTATACCATACCCTTTCAGTTTTGAGGCTATCCTGTAATATACTTAATTCGTTAAATATTGTGTTACGTTTAGAACTGACATTTTGTAGATGTCGTAGCGTAGTGCTCTAATTCATGAAACGTCTGACGGTAAGGTTTGGAATACTGGGTAAAAAATAAAGGGTCGGTTATTCAAACGATCAAGTCTAACTTAGGCCGATGTTTAAGAAATCATTGGTCCAGATCTCTTTCTTAGTGGGTTAATGTAAGAAAATATTAAGTGCTTTTCCAGTGTGAGCCATATGCTTTTTTGAAATTGTTTACGATAAATGATGTATAGATAAATGCGGTGGGAAAACTGAAAATGGCTTAGAACGCGGTTTTGTTAAGCACGAGCTAAACTCCTTTTAAATGACTGGCCCAAAGACACTTGATTACAGTTAGTTGAATCTACCTACTCCAGGATGCAGAGTACTACCAGTGAAACCAATTAAATACATGTAGACTCTTGCTGAGCGTTTTATAAAAACAATAGGCGATATGACAGACCTAGAAACGTTCATTGGATGTAAGTCAATGTCACATGAACAACAGCCATTTCTCTTGATGTATATAGGTTAGCATACTACCTTACTTAAAAGTTGAATAACTCTATCGCTAGAGGCAGAATGTATATAATAGAGGCTGTTAGACAGTGGTGAGAAGATATGGATTTTCTATATGTTCGAGCTGGCACGAACGAGCGCAGTGAACGAATTGAATTAGCTTGTTTTTGCCACGCGAACATAAAATTCATATCTTCGCCGGAGCTAACGTGTAATTCTCATTCCATATAGTTATTCAATTATCAGTCTGCCTTGTCCGGCTAGCGCTGTGAACAGTGCAATAAAATAATCCTTAAAAATCGCAATTACTTTCCGTTAAGGACAAAGGTGCACAGTTTTTTTTGCTGTGTTTTCATTTCTATGTTCTTTTGGAAACTTGACTAAGTCATCATTAAACAAAGTTCGAAAAAGTCGAGGAGACGCCTTTACGATTGGCAAACAAGCGCTAGCGTTACCCCAATGTTGTGTATCAAAAACCAGAAGATATTGTATATTGTGGGTCAATAGTATTCTTGCTTGTTGTGTAGCTCTTTGAAATATACCGATTCATAATGAAGATTTTCACACATATTCCATACAATAGGTGAGATAAATACAGGAAACGCAAGGTTCCATGCACAGTTTCAGCTCGATTTACACAGCTTTGACCAAAACATTCTCAGTTTCGAGAATAGTTCATTCTAAACCATACGAAAAGATTTAATTAGAAGTTGAGTTTTTCGCTATTTAACCTTCACTTTTTACATTCAGTTCATTTTATTTGCCGGAAAGTAAGCCTTAGAAATTAAAAAGACGTTTGATCGATTCACGCTCACGCATTCTAGTCTTATTTGAAACTTTATAACGCAAGGACATCTGTGAGCAGGGAAAAAGTCAGCACAGAATTTGATTGTCGGCGAATTCATGTAATTGTCCATCAATCTGCTAGTGATAAGCTACCCGTTGTTCACTCGTCTTCCTTGTTTGGGGCTGAGTCTTATTCCGGTCAAAGAGAGTGAAAGAGTGTCTGGCAAGGTTTCCAATATAAATCAAAGATTTGTGAACTCGTGTCTGGCAAACCTCCAAGTGTTTATATATACACAGTTAAACGCACCTTATAAAAACAAAAAAAAAAAAATAAAACAAACAAATTTTATTGAAAATTGGAAAATAACTAATTACATTACTTTCCCACTCGCAAATAGCTTATGAACTAATCGAGGCGGGGGGAGCTGAAGACATATTACAAAACAAGATTTATATATAGATGGACTAAATAACAGTGAAGACACTACAATACAGTAAATAGAATTTAAACTAACATAAAACAAGGCATGTACATAACGATTACGAAGAGAGGCTAACCCAAAGTATTAAATAACTTAATAAGACGGGAGACTTCGACATAATCATCAACAATTTATTATTTAAGTAAGTTCCTGGCGGTTTTATAACCGGCAAGAAGAAGTCCTCGACCAAAAATCGCCAAAAGTTATAGATCGCTTCGTCTTCAATTATCTTGCCGTTGATAACGCGGGTCAAACAGCAGATAACAAGCACACTTGCAGCATGATTTTTCGTTTCTTTCTTCTGGCGAGTAAAACCGACAAGCCGTTGTGGGAGATAATGCTTTTCAGAAACCGTCAGTAAAACTTATCTGCTGACAGGCCTTTTCCTTCTTACGGTCCCTTAACTGCTTTTTTCTATTCTCCTTTGAAGCTGAAATTGATGCCTTCTAACGATGAATTCCCGTAGAGAAATCTCAACACGCTTCACTAGCGACATATGTTTAGTTGTGAATGGTAACACTCAAGTTACTGAATGACATGTAGGTGACCAATTAGAACACGCTATTTAGATCTTATCAAATTTTGACCAATCAGGATTTTAACATTCGCCTGGTAGATGTTAAAAATGAGAAAACAGTGGTTTTCTGGCAGGCGTTTCCCTCCTCCTTCCTCGCGCGCCCCTCGCGTTTCTCTAGCGCCTAAAACTCCCTTTCACAAAACTCCCTTTCCCTTCCCTTTCAAACGCCTGCCACGCAGGCTAGTCAACAGACGTCGTCGTCGTGAACTTCGTCGTGGCTCTTAAGTTCCCTATTTTAAAGCCACCAAGCCTTTAAAGCGTCATTCGTGCGTCTGTAATATGTAGATCATAGAAAACGACCAATCAAAGTGCGCGCAGCATTCACTATGGGCTCCTTCTGCATTGAAATAAACGCCCACTGAGCATGAACCAATTCTTACTTGGTATGCACTTGTTGGGTAGTCTCCTGTTGTTACGATTGCAAAATTAATCCACCATATGTTTTAAAAAGTTACCACTTTATAGTATACTGATGTGTCACTTTGATTTGTCTTGATTGAATCACACCACCAAGACAAAATTTAAGATGGAGCTCATTCAAAATTTCCACAAAACTATAATACAATTATAGGCGCGAAAGGTGTCGTATAGTTACCACAATTGAAAGAAAAGCTCTGACATATGGATTATTTTTGTGACCAGCTGGCAATCAGAAGCACAATATCTCAATGAATTTTGAATTTAAAAATCTCTTTACTAAAAAATTATTGAGAAATACAAATATCTGACGGGCTAAAGCCGTTCTCATCTAAAATTTTCAGTAACAAAATTGCGCTAATCCTCTATCTTCTACAATGCGAAGTAACTTAATAAAAGAGTTGGAAAGCAAGTAACGGTTTTTTTAAAAGTATTAATCGCGCAATGTAGTGTTTAGTGTATGTAAGTAATATTTTGGAAATTAAATGTGTAAAGGAAATCTACAAAAAAAAAGTTTGGAAAAAAGTAATGATTGAGCGAGCGTGGGGAGAACTCATACAGTCAAGAATGACACGTAATATGACATCTAGAAAAACATTCGCTGTAATTTCGTCCTCACAGCTACAAATAAGCAAAGAGTCATTATTATCTGCATAATGGCAACCAATGAGGTGGGCGACTTTTGTTTGGCCTTCAGATCGGTGGCTGTGACCGACGGGTTCAAGGACAAGCTTAACGGGAATTAACGCAATGCACGTACGGTCTCCGTGAGCAACTTAGCAACAGAGACTGGGGAAATCACAGAGGATGTAAAGGCTCATCGGCATCTAGTCATGTGGAAATAATAAGATGTAAAAGTTGAGCTTATATTTGGTGAGTTAAAACGATGTTAATTAAAAGTAATACTGATAGCGAAAAACAGCTGAAATCAAATGGAAAACCTTGAAAATGTATATCTCTTGTTAACTGAGAATTTGAGCGGAGCGCGTACTAGCCATTATGGTTACGTCAAAGTCGAGAATTCTAAACGAGAGGAAAGGTAAGATATTTCAGAGGTGACTTTAAGCTCGCGTGCGCTGGCTGTTTTTGCTGTTTCGAAGCATCTTTATACAAGAGGTCATAAGACAGACGAAAGCTTCAGTTTGAAGTCGTGCCACTGAATTCTCTGTTGTGTATTCTATACAAATTGCCAGCCAGGGTTAAAGTTTGTTCCTTTTTGGATACGTTTTCTGTTTTGCTTTGGTAAAATATATGCCAAATCATTTCTCTACTTCTAAACCTACATACGCTGCAAATGCATGGGCAAACGTTTCGCAGTTGTCCGTTTTCTACTGAACACTAAGTTCAGACAAACCATGACAAAATTCTCTTCAGGAACTGATGAAAAGAAAAGTGAAAAGCTAGCTAAGCCTGTAGACATTATTTAATTTTGGTCCTACTAAACATTCAAGTTTACTGTTTAGGTTCCAAGAATTCACGCACTGTATTAATAACAAGGCAACCTGTGTAAATAAGACCTTCTATTTTTACTACTTATAAACTGTCTTGGCATTGATTATTTGGAATCAGCAACGACTCGTTTCGTCGGAATACACTCGTTTTTTAAATAACTTTTGTGTTGAGAACATTGATTGCATAATTCTCCAACTTTCACCGGCTGTATCCTTTGATAATTTACAATCAATTAAACTAATAAAATTTTTCCCGTTCGTTTATGTTCGCCCATAATTACAAGAGATAAAAGACAACGAAATTTCGGAGGCAAAAATTGAGGAATTAAACTGAAATCGATCGACGAGTTCTAGAGCTTTGTAATCTTTTTTAAACATTGACGAGGGGAGTTTCTCCAATTAGAAATCATCACTGGCTATTTTTTTGCAAAAGCGAGCTCTTCGCTTTATCTATTTTTCTGAGCGAAATCAGCATGTAATTCCTTTATTTATTGACGCCGGTGTTTTACCGTTAAAATTTTTGCATTATGAGCATTTAGCTAACCTTAAGTTTGAAATAAGATACAATAATGCTCCTGGAAACATTCAAGATCTCTTTCAAGATATTTCTGATATTCATTCTTATAATACTCGATCCTCTGCCTCTAATAACTTTTACACACAAAGTTCCAGGCTCTCAATTCAAGTGAATTCATTTTCTAGAATCGGAACAAAAAAATATGGAATGAAATGCCTGTATCTTTAAGAAAACTTTCAAAAAATGCCTTTAAGAGGAAAATAAAACAAACACTTTTTGAGATCCTAGCTTCAGAGGACTGTTATATTGATCTCCCAGAAATCGTTCAAAAAATTAAGCTGAATTTATTTTCCTCTTAGTTGATATGCAATCATTAATATCGTTTAGTTTATCAAATATGAAAAGCTGGCGCGAATGCAACTGGTCGCATTAGGGAAACCATTCGTCCGGTAAAACCATCCGACATTTTAGGCACTGAGCGGAAACGTTTGACAAAAAGGTTCAATTTTCAAATATTTGTCTTTTAATTAAAATCTCTTGTCAATATATCTTGACTTAATGCATCTTGATTTGTTTTTACTATTGTTGTAGTTAATGTTGCTTTTATCCCAAAATGAGTTTGGCACCACAAATGTGCTTTGAAACAATGCAGGGAAGGTACCTTTGAAACGAACATTGTTTTAAAATTAATTTTAGTCTTGGATTCATGTTAATTGACATTTTTAAAAAATGAAAAAATAAAGGTTCAATTCAGCAACCTGAATTATATGGAAACGCAACTTGGGGAGCTTGGCAACCCCGTTGAGTTGCGTTGTATAGCTGTATAGCTTTATACTCGAATTCCAAGTTTGGTTTTTACAGACTCGTCATCATTATCACTGAATATTAAGGTTAATTACCACTGCTTATATCATAACAATGATTACTGTTTTGTTGTTGTAAGCTGTTTTTTTCGATCCAACAACAACAACAACAGCAACAATAACCTTTATTTGCATGACTATAATTATTTACAGTATTGCAAAAGGTACGTAAGATAAGAACGAAAAGATAAATAATTATGATATTAATCACAGATAATCAAGTGACATTATTCTTACATGACAGTACACGGCGCGCAAATTATTCAATAATGAGATATAATTCGTCAGTCGTTAATTAAGATAAATATGTTCATCGCTCGGTTTAATCACCAGGTCCGAGTAAGATAGCTCCTGAAAATTACGGAGATGACTTCATATTTAAGCAAAAATTAATTTCTAAGTTTTAAATACTTTGGGCAATAGCAGAGAAAGTGAATTTCATCTTCAATTTCATTGGAATGACAAACAGGGCATAATCTTTTGTCTTGAGGAGTTAGGTTATATCTTCCAGTCTCGATCATAAGTTTATGATTACATGCCACGTTAGAAGCCTTTAATATTACCTACTTCCAAGTATCGCTTGCAGAGGACCCAGTTACGTCAGGAGAAACGGCGGCGAAACTGAGCTTTCAAGAACTGGCGAGAGAGCCCCTGGGATGCTACTCTAAAAGAACCAGTTCCACGACTTATTCGAATACTTGTCTGTGATTGGACACCAGAAATAATTTTGTAAGCAATAATCACGCGCTGCTTTCGTGATCTTCTTATACGAAGAGTTTTACCCGCAACCTCGACTTTTCGCCGTACATGTTTGGCTTGTGCAGGAGAACTTTCTCCGAGAAGAGTTTTCAGCGCAAGTGGGGCCCACAAAACCACAGAAATTCTATAAGTGGTAGAATTTCCGTATAAACTCATACATTTATTATGCACGCAGCAATTTCATACTCACTTCACACAAATAGATGATATCAATAGATCGAGCGGAAACATACATGCATAATAAATGTAAGGGGTTACACGGAAATCTTACCCCATAATTTAGCACGTCAACCTCCGAATAACCTTGGCATCTTTTAAGTCGAAAATCAATAAGCGCCGCGGGGCTCTTCAAAAAATACATAGAGGATATTACACAAAGCAAAGATATGAATTTTATTTTCGTGGGGCAAAACAATATTTTACGAACGAGCGCAGCAAGTGAGTAAAATATTGTTTTTGCGACGAGAAAATAAAATTCATATCTTCAAGCCGCCGTGTAATGTCCTTTTTATTATATAGACAAACAGACATCGATAAAATAATGGAGGGAAATGACCGAAATTACGTCATCGATAAACTCACGTGTGAGATTATGGAAAATAAACCACTCGGGTCCCAGATGTAGTTTTTATGAATTTTACGAGTGGTATATTTTCCAGTAAAACACTCGTGTCTATATAATCAAATGTTTTACCGTATTTTATCGAAAGGGCGCTTACCTCGAGAGTAAGAGTCACACATGAGAAGAAGAAAAATACACAAACCCCTTGGCACTCTTTCGAATAAGTATATTTTCTCCTGTATTCAACGGTCTGAATGGGGGTACCTCTATAACACTAAATACTTCATTTTTTGTTGGTTTTCAACTCTGGGACGAGCGAATTTTCTTCGGGTGCCACGAGTTTCTGCGTTGCTCGAAAACCATAATTTCTAAATTCCAATTCATGGAAAATAAAACCAGCTCAGGTGTTTTGCCGAAGTTTACCGTCAAAATGATTTGCTGGTACCTTTTAATTTATTGACACTTTGTTGGGTCTACAGGTTTCAGACCGTTTTGTCTTGGTTCAGTTTTCCCTTATCATATTAGAGCTTCAGATTGTTTTCCAGTCAAATGGACTACAAACCACCAATTTCTAAATCACTTTATTGGTTCGAGGAAGCTGTCACGTGATATGCCATATATCTTTTATAAGCAATAACGTTTCACATTTTAATTCATATCATTATTAATTTTTGCCACAGATGATTATTGTTTAAGGAATTCCTGTATGCGTTACTTCTTAGAGAGAAAACTCTTGATCTGACAATCGTCTATACCGGCCTGACCACTTGAGGACTGCAAGACGGAACTGAATCATCAACTTGATACCCCAGATATCGTTCATGAAATGTCGTCTACCTATCAGGACTTTGGAGTATCTGAAACCGTAGTCAAAACAGCGCAGGGCATTCTTATCATTGTAAACATCATGGGAAACTTTCTGGTGTGTGTCATTATAGTAAAGGAAAAGGATATGAGGTAAGGCGGCAAACACATTGTATGCAACTAAACAATAACAATTCGTTCCGAAGTACAAAATATACCCTCCAGTTTATCATGATATTGCGCTTTCAACAAATTTAAAAGAAGGACTGGAGAGGGAAAGAAATGCCAAACTTGGTTTAGGGGGAAGATATTACCTATAACGCAAAAAAGCTGAATAAAATCAGCCGTCTTTGATTTACAAAGCTCCTGCGAAAAACTCAGGCGTGCACGCCATATATAAAATTTGTTATGACTCTACCTCTTTAGCTACACCATAAATGATTTTGCAGTAGGGTATAAAAGATATAATGCCTCACCCTTCCAGGATACGTTTATTGAGGGCATCTCTTTGGCGAAAAAGAAAAAAAGAAATCTATAATTTATTTCTATCTCAGCATGCTACGCTTTTAAAATCGTATGGGAATTAAATTTAAATTAGGGCACTCTTAACATTAACGAGATTTCGATCTTGTTTTTCCCGACTGAACTACAATTATCCTTATAATAATGATTAGAACGTTTCTGGGCTTAGAAATCGAAACAAATGAAAAAGTAAGTGCAAAAAAAGATATTCCCTTTTTTATTTTAACATGTTAATGTAACTTATCCCCAGCAAAAATCACTCAAGGCTTAAATGAAATGTACCTGCAACATAAATAATAAAATGCCAACAGGTCCAACAGTAGCAATTATCTCTGAGATTATAATTATGTAACAGAAATCAAACAGTCAGTTTCATGTTCATGCCCAGGGACTCCGGTACTCCAGTCCATTGAAACTGTTTAGTTTTGCCACTAACTCGACTCTAGCGAAAAACTTGTAAATGACAAACTCACCGTTTCCTGACCGTAACCATCAAGAATGTCTCCTAGTATCATAAGATGTAAAGCTACAAACAACAAAGATGAACCTTGGAAACTGTTTGGTTTCTTCCGATTGCGATCCTTTTCGACTAACTAAGTAAGATAACGGGAAATAATCACATGGCCATTTCCAGGTTCCAAAAAGCCTCACTTTCAAACCGACGATAAGTGCAAAACATTTCTTGCGAAAATGGGTTTTATTTGCATGAGAATAAGAAAAAAATCATTTCATATAAATGGCTTCGTAAGTAACCTCGCTTTGAAACAGAGGCATGGGGCAACTCGGAAATAGCATCCCACGCAGAAGTTCTATCCCGGGGCCTCTTCCCTTAAAAAATGAGATAGGCGGGATATAACCACAGAAACGAGATTATACCTCCTATAGCCGCCTTTTTTATATAGTATGTCTTCGAGCTTTTATTATTATTATTATTATTATTATTTTAACGAGGGCTCCACTGTAATTGGTTAAGCTGTAGTGGTCTCCCTGCCTAATAATTTTTATGTATTATGTATAAAGATTGTATTCTTGTTAGGTGAAGCTAAATAAATAAATATAATAAATAAAAGTAGCGCAAATGTCTTGCTTATCCATCACTGTAAAGTTTGTAAAAGTGCTGCATCTTATCAGTTAGGCTACGTTAAAACGGGCAACAAAAAACCTGTAACTAGTTTTGCAATACTGCTAAAAAACGAATTGAATAGTGATGTTGCGCGTTTTACCAACCACCTTCGAACCTGCCTTGCAACAAATCAGGCTGCAAGGATTCTTTTACCGTACGTGGGTGGTAAAACGCGCAACATCGCTATTCAACTTGTTTTGAAGCTAATTCGCAAAACAAGATGTACGTTTTTTGTTACTTGTTTTACCGTACCTTAAGTCAAAATATACACTGTGCATTTATCCCAAAGGACGCCAGTCAACTTTCTTCTCATGAATCTTTCCATTGCTGACATGGCTGTAGCAACGTTCTTTGCACCAAGGTATCTCTTCATCCACTCTATAACTCATCCAGATGGAGCAGCTGGATTACTTTTATGCAAACTATTGACGAGCGGAAACCTCGCCTGGGTTGGAGCTTCCTCTTCGGTCGTCACCTTGGTTAGCACCGCTTTTGAGCGCTATTATGCAGTGCTACATCCTCATGGAACCAAGGGAAAACTTACAAAGAACAAAGTTAAGGTGAACTTGCATCCCTCTTTTTCTAAGTTCATTATCAAAATGATGTCCTTTGAGAGGCGTCGATCATTACTGCGATGAAGAATCGGAGGGGGGGGGACTCAACAAAGCTTTATACGGGGAGACACCGCCCGACGTCCATCCCGTCCCTTACCTTTTTATGTACCATTTTGACAGACGGAAAAGGCACTCCTTTCGTGTACTTTCTAATGACAAATGGTACCCCTTCCACATACCTGGTTTAGAACCTTTGCACCCCTAGCTTTTAAATACTGCTAAATGCACTGTCTCAAAAAGTTTTCACGACCTTCTCAAAGCCATAAAATGCATCTCTTGGTCCTTTTGGGCCTTTTTTCAGACCAAAGTGACAGAATTCTATACTTTTACTAGTGAGTTCCCTACCTTTTCATATGCTGAAGCCTGATTAACTGAGGTACCCCTTTCGGTCGGAACCTCCCCGTATGAGTCATTACTGGGAGGACCTCCCCCCGGGTGAGGAACACGTTTGTATTTCATTAAGAATGTATACCAGTATCTGACCAAACCTTCAAGAAGATGCCGTTCCTGGGTTTGTCTTACTAGTTTGTTTATCAGTTCGGGCCTTGGACGAACGATCATCCAAGATATACTATTGCTGGCCTTTTCCTCCGAGCTTTGCAACGTTCTGAGAGACACCGGTATCTATAAACTATATATCTATGAACAAAATTCGTGTTTGGTTTTGCTGAACTTGTCAACCTTTAGGGGAATGTAACTCATAATTTATAATGATCAGCTTATTGCCCGCCTCAAAATTTCAGCTGGGTAGAAAACAGCACCAATCGTCTTCCTTGTGTTATTTCAGGTGATAATTTCCTGTTCTTGGATCTTTGGAGTTGTAATCAATATCGTGGGGATCCTGTGTGATAACGTAAACGAAGAGAAAGCCTGTGCTCACATATGTCCCGAAGAATGGATGAACCGAGTGTATAGTTCAACTTGGTTTCTGTTCGTAGCATTTTTCCCAGTCTGTTTGATGGCTACCCTTTACGCCCGAGTCGTGTACGCTTTATGGTTTAAAAGCGAGAATTCTACTGAAAACAGTGTCAGACAACAGGTTTGGAAACATGGTCATATTGTCCTGTTTTCATCTGTTTAGAGCTTTAGATTCTAAGCTTACTCGTGGTTGTCCTCGTCTTAAGACGAGGACAACCACGAGTTCTCGCCAGCTTTTCTCAGTACTATTAAGTAGTGCGCGCGCTTGAACCAGGGTCATTTTGGCGGGAAAAGGTGATAGTCTTCATCATTGTACTACGGGTTTTAGCGAAAACTGATGTAGTGACGGAAACAAGTTATCAAAATGCTAGAAGTTTTAAAAGTTTGCGATCTGGAGAGGGATTAACTTCCTCAATAAACATAGCCGTGAAACTATTCTGGTGAAAAAAATAAATAAATAACGCTCTCTGCGGTGCCTAGTTTTTAAGATCACATTTAAGTTAAATCTCGTTCTCTTTGTCTCCCTCGTCCTTGAATCTAAAGTTCTCTAACTTAACTGCATCGCTACGAAAGGCTAGAGATGTTACTGGATCGATCAAGGATAATTTTTTTATGGAACTGACCAGTGCATTTGCTCCATTTTGCCACAGGCTCTAATTCAAGCCTCCTGCCATTCTATTAAATTAGCCTCTCTGTATAAGGCGCCAATAATTATCAGCCCGTAGCTTCTAATAAGCTCCCATCTACTATAAAGAAAACGAGTACTGTATGACGCTTACGTCTTACAAATAACTTTTAGTTGACGATTTCGAGACAATGACAATTCTGACAATTTGTCTGTCTTTTGCAGGGTGTCATGAAGATAAGAAAGCGAGTGACCTTAATGGTTTTAATTGTCAGTGTGGTATTTGCTGTTTGCTGGCTTACAGACGCCTCTAACTTTATTCTGTCCGATTTTTCTGTCGTACGCACTTCCCTTCCAGTGGCGCTAACCAACACATTGATTTTGTTCAATTCCGCTATCAATCCGATTGTGTATGCTTTGGTCAACCAGCGATTCAGAAGGAAGTTCAAAAGTATGATCTGCTGTTTTAGTCGTCGAGCAAGAAATATAGTAAATCCAACATTTCCATTAACCAATCCCACTCAGACGGCACTCTCACGTGACTGATTAAAACGTAGGTCCCTTTAAAAAATGAGAAGGGAACAGGGCCGTGTGAACTGGTTTCGCGAAGGCTTCTGGAACTGTTACTGAAGAGATGGGAAAAAATTGGCCAATAGCTGACCGACACGTCCCCTGTAAACGATTCCGTAAACTATCAAGAAACTGGATCTGAATTACGGGATACATTTCGACTCTAGTTCCCATCTCGGTTCGAAAATGGCGAATGCTATTAATTACGGTACGAAACACTTCGGAAAAGATTGGGACTAGTAATTGCATTTCAAAAAAAAAAATAATAATAATAATAATAATAATAAGATAGAAAGAAAAAAAACTAAATAAAGTAAGTCAAAATAACGTATAGGTAAAAAATAAAAAAAAGCCGCGATGCAGTTATTCTTTGCAGCGTGACAAGGCGCCTATGTTGTTTATCAATATAGCGAAACCTCGATATAACAAAGTTCTCGGTACAAGGAACAATTTTCTTACCTCAGATATAATAAGATATATGAAAATGAACCTCGATATAACGAAATCTCGTTACAGCGAACGAATCCTAACAATCACCTCTGTATTACGGCCAATTCTTTTGGCCCGGCAAAACGGCCATACATTTTCGAGTTTCCTTTTAAAAAACTTTTGTTAATGAAGTCAGCCATTAAAAGGGCCGACGGCCACATTTTTCAATCCCAAGGAGTAGATTCTTTTAAAATTTCACTCCGTAAATAAAGCCTCTCATTGGAAATTTAGAAGATTGAAAGCAAGCGAAAGGCTGTTCCTGTATTGCTTTTAGACTACACTTAAATGTATTTTTGGTGGTTTAATGGCTCATTTTTACTATAAGTGTTTTATTTACTAAAGAGAAGTTTCAAGTAGTTTTTGCAATTACTGTAGCGGTATCTATGTTCCGGTTTGGCTAATTGTTTATTAGAGAAAACGGTTGTTGAGGAAGTGCGAATGCAGACGCACGTCAATGTAGGGTGTATGATGCATTTGTCATTCCATGCAGCCGTGTATCATCACCTTAACTCAAGAACTTACACTGCCGCGGTAATACGGCCACGCTGTTTATGCCGTCAAACTTTTTTGACCATTTGTGGCCTTAGGCGCTTTCCATTGAACAAAAATTCCGGTTTGAAATTTCTGAAATTTTACGTGCCCAATGGAACGGTACATTCTCGTTGCGCGCGTTGGTTATAATGTTCTTTAGACTGGGAGCAGCTCTCTTTCGCTCGAAAATCTGTAAGCTAGAGGATTTTAGCAGCGAGGTCGCGCGAGTTGCGAGGGCACAAGTTCGCAACGCGCGCGATTTCGCTGCTCAAATACTGTCGCTTAAAGATATTCGAGCAAAAGAGAGACTGCTCGAAGTCTAATCGTTCTTGAAAGAGGGATATAAAAGAGCGGTACTGGGGACAACAAATATGTCAAATGGAAAGGGACATTTCGGTCCGACTGTCCGAAATGACCAGACTGTCAAGGTGGACCACCATCAAAGCTGGTCCCGAATATTCCGGTCGGACCAAACCGAAATTTGTCCGTTCCATTTGATGTAGCATACGAAATTTCCTGAATTTTGTGTTGAATGGAAAGCGCCCTTAATCAACGGAGTTCCACTGTAACAAGTTATTTCCTTGAGCAACACTGAAGAAATCGAGGAGGAGGACCAATTTTAAGTAATGATATTTTTAGGGAAAAGTTAATTAAACGAGTGTTCGATTCGCGAGAACAAAGATTGTAAATAGGTAACTACCAAGAAGCAAAAAACAAAAAGAAAAGGCTGTCACGTTGTTTCCTCAGACAAGAACCTTTGCTCTGCTTTGTCGATCTCCTCTCAGCCAGGTCTACATATATTGATCCAAAGGTAAAATACATAGAGGATATTATACGGTGGCGCGAAGATATGAATTTTATTTTCGAGTGGCAAAACAATATTTTACGAACGAGCGCAGCGTGTGAGCAAAATATTATTTTTGCCACGAGAAGATAAAATTCATATCTTTAAGCCGACGTGTAATGTTCTTTTTGTTATATAGACAAAAAGACATCGATAAAATAATAGAGGGAAATGACCGAAATTACGTCATCGCAGGAACCCATCAAATGGAGCCTCCATCTCCATTAATTTCTTGAGTCAACCCTTTCCCGAGTAGATTTATAAATAGAACGGTTTGTTTCCCGCGTCATATTTCTGTGAGTCTCGTATGTCACCGTGAAAAAAATGAAGTTGGATGAAGTCGAACTCATTAGCCCGTCCTTCGACCGTTATCCTTTTTCACTATACGTCCACTTTTACAATTTTACAGCTGCTGGGATCTGGGTATCATGAAATAAAAGTTAATGAATTACCCGACTGAGACTGAGCATGAAGCGATGGGATAAAGGCAGCGAACTGAGGGTCACGGAAAGGTTATCTTTGCGAGTGTTTTTGTTTTTGTTTTTGTTTTTTTTTTTTTGCCGCTTTATATCCCACATTTAAGCATGCACCTTGAAGAGAGTCGATGATTAAGCGTTCTGTGGACGATTTGGAACTTTTCGATGATCAGCGCCGAAAAAGTACCAGGATCATTTGATTTTTGTCATCACCGTGGAGTGGATTTCGCCAGTTAAGCACCGCATGCAAAAGCGATAACCTAAGTAGCAACTAGCGAGGAATGCTTCAGTTCCGAAATTTGAGAAATTGCAGTCTTCCTTTACAACTGACTTGTATCACCATGAGAGTTGCCTGATAAAACTGGCACTTGAAAAGTTGAACAGAAGACAACAGTTGCTCGACCGTGAATAATTAATTTTGCTAACGGAGAAATTTGTGACATCGCGCTCCAGTCCAAAGACCCACTTATCTCAAGAAAAACAAAATGGATTGTATCTGCGCCAAAAGAATTATGACTGACTAACAGGACAATTCTCAGCAGTTAACGCAGAAGTTTAGGCTTAATTCTTTCCTCCGAATTCGCATCTGTGGATCACTTTTTTGCGAGAAAACAATGGCTGGGCCCGGCGTTACAAAACATAGAAGGGAATCATCACACTAGCTGAAGGACAAAACAACCACAAGGACTACAAGTATTTATTCAGATAAACGCATTTCGGAAAAAAAAAGCCTTGAAAAACTAGAAATTTGATTAATATTGAGTCATTTAGCCGAAATAAGAACCTTAACGCTCAAAAATATTGGCTAAAGAAAACGAATCCTGTCAGAACTACAGACTGCAGGTAGTAGTTAATCATTATGCATGTAACAGACCAGCTTCATAGCCTCTAACTGTGAGGCAAGCAACCAAAATGAAGATTAACATAGTCAGAGTGTAAAACTCTCCACAGTATAATCTACCCACTAGAAAGAAAATCTCTGAGGGATGAAAACGCTAAAGTCACGTTTCACTAGCTTATGATTGTGTTTGGCCTGTCAACACCGAATTTCCTGCTGTTCGATGAAGTACAATAGCAGTGTCATTTCGTTGTTGTGATTGGCTCTTCCCACCGTCGGCGCGCAAAGTCTCCCCTGGGAACCGTTCTAATTATAAATCTACTCGGGAAAGGGTTGACTCCAAGGGCATGTATGGGAGATGGAGGCTCCATTTGATGGGCTCCTAGTCATCGATAATCTCACGTGTGAGATTATGGAAAATAAACCACTCGGGTCCCGGATGTAGTTTTTATGAATTTTGCTAGTGGTATATTTTCAAGTATATAATAAAACGATATATAGCGTTTGCAGACCTCAGTAATTTATTTCCCATACGTACAAGGCCTCAACTGTCGCCTACCGTATGCTACATTCCACACTTTTTGCGTTAGCTTGGGAGGCCTGTGATAAAATGAGTTTATTTTTCGAAGTCGCGAAAAGTTGAGGTCACGTGACTTTCCTAGTCCCCGTTATCGACTGGGGCTAGTTTCTTTCTGGAAGAAGGAAACAATATGGCGGAACGTAGAGAAAAAGGAAGTTTCCGTCAGCTTTCTGAGTCCTCTGCAGGCTAGGCTGCCGAGCGGGGAGCCTCATGGTTACGGAAATATAAACGGTAGAACTCTATACTTATGAGAAAAAAGACTTGATTATGTTTTGTTGGGGGGAAAATCGCTGAAGGACAGCCTGGATTAGGGGAAACGGAAGACGAGCCAGTCTTGACACGGCGAGATGTCGATGTCAGTTTTGGCTCGCTATCAGAAGTTAAAGACATTGCATGTGGCTGGGAGCACACAGCTGTTTTATAAAACGACGGTGTTGTTTACACCTGTGGTAACAGACAAAATGGACAACTTGGACATCACAGAGAAGGAAATAAATTAGGTTAGTATACAATGTAATTTCTAGAAGGACGTTGTTTACAGTGCAGGGGACGTCTCAGTGTTTAATTAGAATATTTACAGCGCACTGAGAAATTTTGATTTTTTGAAGTATTGCGTAATTAGCTTAAGTGATAATTTGAACCGCAAATAACTAGAAATTAGTGTACACTGTTACCCAACAGAAAAACGCACGATAGTTTTAATACATTGATCAAATATTTTTACGGATAGGTACTTGCAGAAATTGGTTATGACGATTAGAATGGTCAGTAAATTTTTACTAAACGTACGTGCAGGATATTAAACGCTTAACCCTTCAGTTCAACAAGTCCCAACAGTGATAAGTATCAGTTTTCTTAAAATTCATAACATTTTTAGTCAAAAGAACAAATTATATTCGAGAATTAGCAAAATATCAACTAGGGGAAAATGTTTTGATCTTTTATCAAATTCTCTTAATTAATTCATTAAAAGAAAAATGTATGGACATCAGTTTGGAGAATACCGTAAAATTCCGAAAATAAGCCCCGAGGCTTATATTTTCCAAAGGCCCTTTTTGAGGGGCTTGTTTTTGGAGGTTCTTATCTACGGAGGCAAATTTGCGTTTCAAAATCGATTGGGCTAGCCTTATAGTTGGAAGTAAACTTACCGTTTTTGCTTTGTTTTACTTTGTATTTGAGGGCAATTTTCCAAGTACAAGCCCCCGAGGGGCTTATATT